TACGTTTGGCACTGGCTTCCTCCCAATTTTTGCAATGACAGCTACCGGCAAGATTAGAGAACCTTTGCTTCTCTTTTAGCTATAAGTCTCCTACGAAAGAGAATTAGTAAAAATCAGCCGGACCCCTAAAGTAGTCTCTTTTCATAGGTGAAAACAGGGATGCTGCTGAGGGGTTAAGGTCACTATTTGAAAAATAATCCTCCATTTCTTAGGTGAAAGGTTCTTTGATTTTTCTGTCTCCAGTTTGCTTTGCCTCTCTCTCTCATATATCTACGGTGAAAGTGGAAAATATCTCAGGATGAGGATGGCTTGTAGAGAAATGCAATGAGACCATAGGAAGCTGATGAGATGCTTTCTGTGGAAGCCAAGCTGCAGGACAAGAGAGGCAATTCACAAGTGGTAGAACAGCTGGCAACTCCAACCCACACCATCTGGATTTGTGTGATTTTATAATATTTATTGTCACTAACTCTGAGAGGAATATGAATAGAGCTGGCTGCAAGTGGAAATGAGCTGGCTTTTCAATAGAGCGAATTGTGTGCAGAGCCTTGGCAGGGACACACAGCAGGGCGAGCATCTGATATCAGCCGGCCAGCCGTGAATTACCACTTCGTTGGTCAGGCTGGCTACATGCAACAACAACAGAAAAAATTTCAGTCAGGCGAGGGAAGCCCTGCTGAAAAAATGGCATTTCAAATCTATCATTTGGAGAGGGGAGATAGAAGGTTGCCAGCTCTCCATCTTTAGCCTGAAGTTTGTGAGAGCTGCCTCATTTTTTCCTTAAAACCTTAGCATTAATAGATGTGGCATTACTCAAGAATCTTACAGTTATATTTTTAAAAAGTCTTTTCGGGTCTTATGGTTAAGAAAAAACTGTGACCGAACTCTACCTAACAGCTGCAGAAAATGGAACAACCCCCGAGTGCATTTTCTTAAATCTGATTTGAACCAGTTTGTGGTTTTGGGATTCTCACGTGTGATTGTGAAAGCACTGAGTTGTCAGTGTTGAGCGTATTCATGTAGGTAGCATGATTGCTGCCTTAGGAAACTGTTCTCTGGAGGTGCCTGTTTCGCTTCGTGAACACCGAAGGGAACACTGCTGCTCCTCACACAGCTGTCCCAGCTGGAAGTTCAAAGTGGGACAGGGAGAGTTTAGGCTTTTATGTTTCTGTTCCTCATCTGTGAAATGGGATAACACGTTTTTTTCCTTCCTGCAGATCAGCCAAAGAATAAATTCCTCTTCTTCTGATGTCACGAACTGGTAATTACATGAAAGCTCAACCTGTCTTATTTTTATTTTAAAATGGTTTTACTTCTCATGGGGCATTAGGAAAGCTTAAAACTTTTAGTCTGAGTTTAGTTAAACCAGACTTACAAAGGAAGACTAATAATGGTATCTTCCTTCCTTGCCCTCTTTCTTTCTTTCTTTTTCGAACTTACACATTTCAGTCCTATGTGGTTTGGGAACTGACCTATTTTTGATCATTGACTGTAATACTGAAACAACAGAGAAATACTTGCCACAAGATATGAAACAGAAATTAGCATTTTATTCTAGTAGAATACTATATTTTCTAAATCTTTTCTTCATGTTTGAAAGTCGGGTTTTAATTATTTTTTTTTAAATGGAAAAATACTGGTTCTCTGTTCTGGGATTCACTCCAGAGCTGAAAACACTAGTATTTGTAGCACATCAATTTACAAACCCCTTTAGTTAAGCTGAAGAAAAACGTAGCAAGACATGAATGCCAGAGAAGATGAAGTGCCTAGCTAAGCAGCACACAAAAATGCATCTTATGTCCAGCTTGCACTGAGTGCAATGCCTCAAAAGGGAAAGGGCAGTCACAGAGAGCAGCGCTGGCTCTTCTGTCCCTAGCTAGCAGAAACGGGTGATAAAAGCAACAGCAGAGAGGAATGCAAAGATCTGGCACTGGCATTAACAAGGTACCCCTCTAGAAAAGCCTGCAGTGGTAACAGAAATATTTTCAACACTGAAGACTACTCTGTAACTAGTGTGTCAAGAGGACACCAAGAAGGAGACCAACCTACGTGTATCTATCTATCTCATGTACCGTGGTGAAGATAAATCAAGAAGTAGAGAAGGAAACTCAGCTATTTCTGTCAGCGGGGTGGTGTGAGCTAGCTGTGCATCTATTGAAAAGGAAGAATTCAACTAGAGAAACAAGAGGGACATATCAAGCACTATTGCTCTCCTACTTCAAGAGAAAGGACTGGGAATTTTTCAGCCCGTCCTTGACTTAATCCATTTTACCAGTTTTTGTGTCCCTGCCTGGTGAGACCTCGGTTTAGCTGAAAAAAATAGGAGACCTTGAAGCACAACCTAAAGAAACAAATCCCTGCTGTGCTTGCTGGGCATGGGACACGTCCTGCTCTGAATGCCCCATGTGTGTGTACCAGGATCTGCCCCCCTTGAGGCTTTTCCTGCATGAGGCTGTATAATACTAAAGAAATTCCCTTATGATGAGTTTCCCAAGGGCATTTTGTACAGTGCGCTATCACAAAGCTGTAAATTCATTCACTCTGTATGCATTTGGTGGCATTAAGATTTGAAGTATTCAGGGGGAAAATAAGTCCTATTCTGGAAATGCCAGCATGTGCGGACAGGAGTGAACATAAAGTGGACAGCAGCATCTTCTCTTTTTTTCCTAGTCAGACGTGCTCACCCACAACGTCATCTGCCACAGTAGCTTGGACATCCCCAGGGCCAAGTCCTGACTGGTGCCAGGCTTCGCAGGATGAACTGGGAGGCTGGTCGTAGCTGGGCTGGGCTTTCCAAAGGTCTCCTACTCCTTGGCCTCAGTACTCTGGGCTTACTGCATGCACGCCGTGATGCCACAGGGGTTTATGTGAGTGGCCTTTATGTGTCCTCAGCCGTAAGGCAGAGGGTCAATGCGGTCTTGAAACAAAATTCTTCAATTTAAAAATCATTGTTAGCAATCATTCACTCAGATCCCTTACACTGAAATGCCTATAAACACAGATATTTCACAGCCAGATAGTATGTTCTCTGTTCCTGAAAGAATAGCTCTATCGGTTTTTTTAAAGGGTAACTGTTGAGCAGACAAATGGAAATGTGACCATTATATAGAACAAGGCGTGTAGTGAAGAGAACAAATTCCTCAGCTCTCTGACAGCAAAATTGTGTTTAATCATATTCAGCTCTTTTCTCCTTGTCCAGGCATGTCCAGAAAAAAAATCAATCTTATGATCAACATGCCACAGGAATCTCATTTTTTAATTTAGCTCTCTGAGGGATTCTCTTTTGATCCTTCTGATCAGACAAGAACAATTACTGTGCCTCTAAGCTCTCCCCTGCCTCCAGTCTCCAATTAGTCACATCGATAACATTTTTTCAATGTAAAAATCAGGTCACCTCTTCAACTGCTTATGTCTAAATCAGGAGACACTATGATAACTCATTCACAAAACAAAACCTCACTCTTCCCAGCCAGCCCAGGGCCTTCTGCCTCCAGGTTTTCAAAATCATCACCTTTTAAAAACCTTCGTCTGAGCTGTAAGCAAGCCACTGATGAAATTTTTGTTTGCTTGAAATACCTCCTGGTGTTTTGAGAAGTACATGAGCTAAGCCAAGCACTTGACTGCATGTGTTTCAGTTCGCTAAACAGACCTTCTGAGATCAGTGGGATACTGACACATCCAAAATTGAGCCTGTACTTAAGTGCTGTGAGTCCAGAACTTTCTCCTCCACACTTTTCCAGTTTGTTTTCTTCTTTTCAGAACTTTGAACTATGTTGTGAGTTTTTTCTTCAACTGTCCTTTCAATTCTGTCACAGAGAAAGGTCACAGTCTTCACAGTTTGTTGGTTTTCTTGTCTGATTTCAGTCAGGCCTTGAAGGCAGCAGCCTCTCACCTACATTTGTTCAAGACAAAAAAAGCCATGTTGGGCTTGATGGCACTTGAGCTTACTGTTGAAGCACTCCCCCTCCCCACTGGTGTATCTTTTTCCTTTAGGCAAGTACCAGCAAAGCTTGCCAACCATTCAAAACAAAATGTTAGTGGGGAAAAGAAAAACCCTTTATATTAAAAAAAAGTCATGAAAAACTAAAGAAGAGGCTAAAAAAAACCAAAACACCTCAACCAGCTCTTCTCCTTTCATACAGGGCCTGGCTCTTCCTCTGGTGTGGGGCAGAGATGAGGCCAGCCCAGCTGGGGAGCCAAGCCTGAGCCACGTTGCGAGGACACGGACCCTCACAGCACTGCCCGTCCCACCTGGTGGGATGGCCGGAGGTGGGAGACCAAAGCGGTGTCTCCTCATTCCCTTGGGAATGTCTTGAGGCAAAGTGGATGGATTTACAGGTCAACAAGGGATTGCACGGCTGGTGTCAACAACAAAGATTTGTCTTCAAGACCTTGGAAGCCTTTCTGATGATCGAGAACTTCTTGGAAGAGATGGGATCCCCGTGACCACGTGGGGTAAAAATGTCTTCGCCAACACGCTGGCCGACCTGGTAAGGAGGTTTTAAACTAGAAGTGATGGGGGAGAGAGATGATGATCTATAATCAAGTGAGGGAGTGGTTGGCAAACAAAGGGTGTGGGGTGATGTGGACAAGAGACTTTGTAATCAACATAAGGCAGAAAGTGGCCCATCCTAAGGGTATGAACCCAAATAAGGGTGAGCCTACATGACAGCACGATGGGGGAAGATCTCATACCTTTGCTGGGAAATCAGCACAACTGGGAGTTGCCTTCATGTGAGATAGCAGGGGCGATGCAGCTGGCTCTGCCTCTGGAGGGGTGATGAGCCAGCTGAGAGCTTATGGGTGAGGGTTAGAGGGTAGATCAGCATGGGTGACATTGTGACGGGGGTCTGCTACAGACCACCTGGTTGGGAGGAAGTAGATAAAGCCTTCTTCAGACAACTGGAAGAACCAAAATACAAAAATGATGAGTATATTTACCTAAAACCAGAAAGGTTTTGTATACATAAACCCAAGACGGTGGTGAGGCACCATGGGACATGGTCTACTACCTGGGAGGGAGCGTGGGCCTCAGCGTATCGAAGACCTCAACCCAGACGGAGTTCTGGGGGAGGATGCCACCATCCCAGTCGCAGGCAGGGGACAGTGTCCGTGTCCTTGTGACGGGATACGTGCCCTGGGTGAGGAGCTGTTGGCAGGCGAAGGAGTTGCGGAGGAGGTGAGCAGCTGCACACCGTCAGGGAGAATGAGCAAGAGATTGACAGGCTCTTTGCAGAGGCTGAACAGCCCCGAGGTCCCTTCCAAATGGAATTATTCCATGATTCTGTGATACGAGGACAAATGAATGTAAGCAGATCTTCCTCAATAGGAGCATGAAGGAAAACTCTGAGCACAGGTAACTTAGTGACAGGTTGTATGAATAGATTTGTGGAGCTATGGTAATTCAGCCTTAATAATGCTGAATAATGTGTAACCTGGAGGTCTCGATCCAAGGTTTTGTACCTCAGCTTTGAGGATGATGTGGAGCAACAGGAATGCTGAGATGGCTATAAAACATGATCTGTAAAGAAATATTGAACAGACTCAGACTGTTAACCTAAAAAAGACAAACTGAATGAGAAACACCATAGGAGTCTGTGAATGCTTCAAGCTCTCCTTGGACAGTTCCAAAGAGGAAAGAAACCACCTAGTCTATGCTTGTGCTGGATATGACAAAAAAGCAGTAAAAAAAATCCTAAATCGTCACAGACTCCTAAAGGACTGGCCTATTGTCTACAGCCATGTGGACAGCCTAGCACATGGAAAACCCCTAGTGCCAAGAAAACAGTTTTTGTTAAGTGTTTTGACCCACTGAAGCAAAATGAATAAAAATGCCATAACCTGCCACATTTACCTGAGTTCCAGCCCTGGATAACTGCCTTTTGCTTGTGGCAATGAATTGTCCCCCTGGTTTGCCTGTTTCCACAGATACCTGGGAAGATTTCTTTTGCCTTCAGGTTCTCCATTGCTTCGCCATAGTGCTCCCCAGCTGAGGCAGATGGTCAAAACTTAAAGCATTGCCAGGCTAAGTGTCTTCACCAACAGTAAGCACAGATAACGTTAGAGAGGGAGGAAATGAATATTCATAGATCCACTGCCTCTATAAACATAAACAAGCATGTAGGGAAAGTGAGGCAAAGGATTAGTAGAGTTAGGTGGAAGGAAGTGGGGTTTGGTTTTTTTTTTTTTTTTTTTCCCCTGGGGTAAATATCTAGCTGGGTGAAGATGCAGTATTTTCTCCACGTTCCTCTCTGGTGGGTTGACCTTGGCTGGCTGCTAGATACCCAGTTAGCCACTGTCTCACTCCCCCTCCTCAACAGGACAAGCAGAGAAAATAAGATGAAAAAGCTCATGGGTTGAGATAAGGACAGGGAAATAGCTCACCAATTACCATCAGGGGCAAAACAGACTGGACTTGGGGAAGACTAATTTAATTTATTGCCAACTGAAATAGAGTTGGATGCTGAGGAACAAAGACAAAACCTCCCCCTTTTCCCAGCCTCAGTTTCCCTCCTCCATCCCCAACTCCTCTGTCTCCCCTGCCCTGAGTGCCGCAGGGGTTGTGGTCAGTCCATAACACCTCATCTCTGCTGCTCCTTCCTCCTCTCGCTGCTCCCCTGCTCCCGTGTGGATTGTCCATGGGCTGCAGTCCTTCAGGAGAACCTGCTCCAGCATGGTCCTCTCCATGGGCTGAGGGGAAATCTCTGCTCCAGTGCCTGGAATGCCTTCTGCCCCTCCTTCTTCTCTGACCTTGGAGCATGCAGGGGTGTTTCTCACTGTTTTTCCCGACTCCTCTCTGCTCTCTGGCATTTTTGCCCTCTCTTAGACACACTTTCCCCCAGGTGCCATCATCTTGACTGAGGGGCTCAGCCGTGCCCTGAGGTGGGTTGGCTGGAGTCCCGCACGGGGCAGCCCCGGCTGCTGCTCACAGAGACCACCCTGCAGCCCCCCTGCCAGCACCTGGCCAGTACACCCAGTACATCCCCGTATTCTCTTTTCCTTTTGATAAAATATTTTTCTGTTGGTATATTATTAAAAAATCATTATTTGTTTATTAACTTTGAAAAAAAAATAGTAAGACTTGAACCAGGACCTTTTTGCTTATGATGACGTTTGGCTTCTGCTGATGGTTGGCAGGGGGGTTACGCAGACACTGAAGTCTTTCCCAGCTGCTGTGAAGTGCACACACGTGTGCAACAGGGCTGTGTCCCAGGGTTCAGGTCGCTGATCACCAACCTCCTCCTCTGGAGCCCAGGCAGAATTTCCATCCCCTGCTGAGAACGATAGAAGAGTGAGTCAAGGACATAAACCCCAAGCAATGTGTTAGGTACCCTGCCTCCCTGGCCCAACTCATGTATTTTCTCCAAAAATTATATTTCAGGAGTTCCGGCTGCACCTTTTTTGTCTGTCCTGAACCAACCATTTTCTATAGCGCAGATTTCATTGAAATAGCATTTCTAGAATCAAAAGAAAAAAATGTAGTCCTGTTTTACTGCCACGGGTTGGGAATAACTTTATTATTCAGAATATCTGAGAAAAATTGGTATTTTTGGCTTTTACAAAGAAAAATTTGTAATAATGGAATGTTTATATTCCTGTTTCCTTTCTTTTTACTAGTAAAGTATTCCTGTAAAGATTAGGAAGTAGGATTATTTTTGTGACCTATAGCTGTGTGTCTCATTTGTCTTCTGGAATTTCCCTTTAACATACTGGGCAGTTTCATTCATCATTGCGCGAAAGCAGCCAGCAACCAACAAATGAAGAACTGGCTAAGTGATAAATTGCACAGACTAATTGTACCTCGAGGATGGGATTCCTGGTAGCGCTCGGCATCTTCTCTGACCAGGCGCTATGTGATGTGGGGGTGAATATCAATGATTCCTGCATTCTCAGCTCAGATGCTCCCTGGGCTTTACCTACAGTACGTAAAAGTGATGTTACCAAGGTTCTCCACGTGATGTACTTTTTCCAACCAGAAAATTTAGTATGGGTGGAAAAAGAAGACTTCAGATGCTAGTCCTGGATTTCCACATCTCCAGCAGTCAGTCAAGGGCAGGAGCCTCTCCAATCCTCCCCAAATTCCTAATAAACATCCCTTATGCATCCACAGCTCAGCTCTTTGGTGGACGCACTTGAATGGTGAGGCGTCAGATGTACTGCTCGTGTGTTGGACAGATGGTCAGTGCTTCCTCAGCGAGCCCACCGCTTGGAGGAGACCTCAGACTTACTCTGCAAATACTCCTCATTCCAGCAGTAGACGTGTGGCAGGCTGGGTACACCCTGCCCACCACAGACGCCGTGGGCACGTTCATAAACTTCTGTCTAGGAAATCTGGGACAGAAATATGGCAGGTCTGTAACACAGGTATCTGCAATATAAGTAGCATTTTAATAAGCAACTAAATAACAGCATAAGGTGCATATTCAAGAATCACTTACACATTCAAGAGTCTGTTTCATCGAAAATAGGATTTAGGGTACCTTTTCCCAAAGTGCTTACATCTTTTTTGTTTTGAGTTTTACGGCGTTTCTGGCTGTGGTCTCCCTGAGGTTTGCCACTAGTTTGACAGTCCGAGAATATTACTTAATACCTTCAAAAATTATGTACAAGGTCACATCAAGGTATCATTTTTTAAGCAGGAGCCCTACAGAAAACAGCTGAACAATAACCGTACTAATGGCCCTGAATGTGCTTGTATCAATATGTTATTTCACTGCATAAAGAAATCAATGTTATTAAAAAAATCATAGCAATCATAAGGACATAGCCAATTTGAGAGCGCTATTTACTGAATAGCTAGTGACCAATTTTCCAGTCCTCCTGTTTAAATTAATGAATATTTAAAGAGGAGACTAATTTGATTTCCTTGAAACCTGCCCAGTTTCATTAACACAGTGGGGGAAAATACAAAATATGTATTTGAATGCTTTGTTCTTCAGGAAAAGCTATTCTACCTCTGATGTGCTGCAGATTAAAAGAACCCAGTGATTAAAATAATATTAACACAGTTTATGTCACTCCTGTTATTTCCCAGTCTTAAACTCAGGCAAGTGAAAGATGGTTAAATTCCTATTTTTTAATGAGACTTTTCAGAGAATAATATACAGGCTTTGTGGGAAAGGCTGAAAAAACGAATTTTTTTTCACGAAGCGGCAACAACCATTTGGAGGGGAGGGCGATTCCAACATGACAAAAGCGTGGTGTGGGCTAGGATGTCTCCCAAGTACAGTGACACTGTCTTAAAGCCATTCGGAATGTCAACAAGCTTTGCTGTGCACGAAGACTGTAAATGATACAGAAGCAGTCCCTTATCTGGGTAGAACAAAGACTGTCAGAAAAATCTTTCTTTTTTTTTTTTTGATGAATTTCATTTACCTTTTCAACAGATTTTAAATCTTTTGTAAAATACTCCAAGGGGGCATAGCACAGTATGAGACTTGTAATCAGCCTGGAAAGAGTGACAGAAAACTGGCTCATTTGGTCTCTCTCAATGCTTTCCTTTATTCTAACCCGTCTGTTCAGAGCTTAAATCACAGGAAATTTGAGTGTTTAACTCTTACAGCAGGTAGCAGAAAAAAAGCACAAAGGAACCTGAGCAAAATATTTGAAGTAAAATCTAGATTCAGAAGCAAATCAGGGCATGACTCACCTGCATAAAGCAATTATTGTACATGCATAACCTTTTTTGTTGTTGATCCACCTGACAAGAGAATGCACAGATTTAGCATGAAAAAAAAATCATCCTTAGCTTTTCATGAGGGAAAAAACTAATTGAGTAAAAAAAAAAAATTGGAGGGAAAAAAAAGAGTATATATTAGCTGGCTAACAGCAGGAAAAAACCCGATCTTGGCATGGATGTCTAGCAAGAAGTGCTGGAGTGTCTATAGCTGATACCTATCAACCTGTTTGTAACAGCATGTAATAACGGTCAGAGGTGTGCCTTGGTGAGCTTTGGTCCCTAAGGAAGTGTGTGCAAGGAAAAATAGGCACCTGTTGTTTGTCTCCTTACATTCTGCCTAAATAAATAGTTACATGTATTTTAGATCCCATCCTCAGACTCTTGGGACGAGCACCGTCTTTGTTACGCGTTGGTACGATAGCTGCTCTGCTCCATGCCTGGGCTTTCTAGGAGAAAAAAAAC